GACAGCCTGAAATGTTTATGTACGACAGGTATATTTTTCCAGAATTAAATGCCCATAATTAAGGGTGCATATAACACACGAGTGCGTATTATACGCGAATAAATAAGTCTTGTGTACATTGATCAATCGGAAGGGGTACTAATTGGGATTGTTCACTAGCCAATATCTTAGCAAATGTCGCCATGGTCGCTCATTAGAGCGGGGCGCTTATTACGTCGAATACGGTAGATATATAGCCAAGTACCCTATTTTTAAACGACACCAACTTTTGAACAGCCATATTGAAAGTGATTTTGTCACATTATAACAAGAGGTGGGACGTCAACAAGGCTGTCGCTCTGAGTACACACGTTCGGCCTGTCAACATTGAGTTCATGGAAAATACTGTACACTTGTCAGAAGAGTCCGTTGTCATTCAGAATTTTGGTGCCCGTGTCATGAGTGGAATCAGAGACCATATAATAGATTATCTATAATCTTTTATATGGTCTCTGGTGGAATAGTGTGAACATTATCATTTGACAAATATTCATGTTTTGTGACTAGGTTTCAAACTTTCGATTACTGTTTGAGTTTTAATGCCAACCTGCAAGAAATACGTTGAGAACTGTGCACCAAAACACCTCTGTTCATTCATGGAAACCCTGCTAAAGTACCAAACCTATCAACAGAGGTTTACAGACCATGCAAAAGAGGGCACGCCTTTTACCGAGGATTATTTTTCTTTCAGAATGGAGCTAATTTCTATTGTTGAAGAAATCACCTACTGATGTGAAGCATAATTTGAGTTTGATTTGCTCATCCCTTGAAATATCAGCAATGACATCTTAACTGTTCCAAAATAGGATATGTCAGGATACAAGGCTGTTTGTTACATGATGATAATCATGGGCGGATACAGCTTTTTTGAAAAGGGGGGGGTGCACAATTAAGATCTATTTATTGTCTTTGGTGGTAATTTATACAGAAATAAAGATTTTTTTTGGAATAGGGGGGTAGCGCTCCCCCGCCTCTGTATCCGCCCATGATAATGTTCCATGCCTATGGCAAATCGTAATGCTTACAACAGAGTTGTGGTCAATATGCCCAGTAATTTGAGTGCGGCATTGAAATTTACATACACCTTGTATTTTATTTAAAACCTACATCACATCACAGAGTATGTTCCCGGTTCGCTACGTGACACGTCCCTTAAATAATCTTAATCAAAATCTCAAAAATGACCCATGACCAAAATAGAACACATTTCCGCTCTTTGTCGTTTCATTTTCTGTCCACGACCGATGGCATTGACCAGCTGTTTACCTGTATTCTACCGTTAGTAAGGTGAATACATTACTCCAAACTGTAATACCATAACAGAAAAATACTCACATTTTCATAGATAATTTGCTGTTATTCACGAGCGACCTTGGACGCATAGTTGGAGCAATTGTTTGCTAATATTAGATAACGTTGTTTTGAGTTTCCGCGCTAAAAATAACGCTGGAATGGAAATAGTATTATCTTGCCAACTTGCTCTATTGCTATTCCGTTTTAGAGGATTCTGTTGAACATGCCCCAAAACCTCGTTTATCGTGAAATAAGAAATACAACAGTGTCGGGCGGGTCTAGACATCCATAACACTATATATCATCAGGTCTTTGAAAGGCATTTAGACTACATATAATCTATAACAAAGTGCGAATACACTTAGCATCGGACATATCATAATGTTTTTAACGATGGACGATGTACAGGAATAGACGTGACAACCTATCAGCTGTTTTGTTTTCAGATATATTTATCATGAATGTCACCGACAAATTAGAATATTTTTTACATTAAATGCCACTGGCAAATGTGTTAACATCTAAAATTTGAATTACTTTACATTTAAAAAATACATTAATGACGACGCTAATCACAGCTTAGGATAATGTATGTACGTTTTGGGTACGAACATACAAACACTAAAGTCGATTGTTCATGTACACGATTTATCCAACCCTTTTACGAATTTTCCGACATTGTTTTAATCATTTGGACACACGCACAGTTGAAATCGAAGAGTGAGTGAGTGGCTCTCGTTTGAAGCCACAGTCAGCGCGATTCCATCTATATCAGACCGCCTCCGTGGTCTAGTGGTAGAGCGTCCACCCGGAGAGCGGGAGGTCCGGGGTTTGATCCCCGGCTGCGTCATACCAAAAGACGTTAAAAGTCGTTGTTGTTACTCTGTCTGGAGCTCGGCACTAAAGGGTTACAAGTACTGGTCGGCTCGGAGTCAGTATACTGTGTCTGAGTGGGGTATGTTAAAACTGCGGCATTGTTTCTCAGTGGGCTAGCGTCAGTCCGGACTAGTACAAGCAGCCACACACATACACACACGTGCATGCACGTCGCTATATCAGTGCAATAATCTTGGACGCGACGTTAAACCCCATTTCACCTCACCATCTATATCACAGGTGGCTGTAAATCATTAAAAATGGATACAAACTCAAAACGGTCATACAAAAATGAAAAATTTAAAGTTAAAAAAAAGAAAAGTTTCAATTGATTTAGAGTAAGTTTTGTAACTGGTTTGGGGCTATAATTTATAACTCATAACATTTAGTAAACACATACACATATACTAGTATATATCAGATCTATGGAACTATTCATAGAAAAAGATATAGCCTGAAACACCATCCAGATACACCACTGTTAAAGATCTTAATTATGAAATAAATATAGGTATAATTCATAAACAAATTTTTTTAATATTTAATTTATTTTTCAAAAATGTGTCCATTTTGACAATTTACTGAGGACATTTTGACTTGGGGTCTGAGGTAATTTTCACCAACGTGTTTGTGGCCATTTTGACTCTAACCCGCCTACAGTAATGCATGGGTAGCTATTCTGACCAGGAATTCTCACACGTTGAATATAAAGTGCACTATCTTGGCATTTATACTTGGATTTAAAACAAAATTTAATGTAAGCCATTGGCACACGTTTGCTTATAAGACGATGAAAAAAATACACTCGCCATGAGGACAGAAAAGAAATCGCGTGTCAAAGTTATATTTCAATAAAACATATAACGTTCAGTCACAAGGATTACGATACACAACAAAACCATTATATACTAAGGAATAAAATACGACCAACATATATACAAGTTATAAATAAAAACAAAAGAGATCCATGTCTTGTATAATATAGGAAGTGTCTTTAAATTATGGTGGTCGAGAGGGGACATCGCTTTCTCGCCCTCAATTACGATCGCGATAAAGGGATAACACAAGACGAGAAAGCCATTAGACGAGACGAGAAAGCGATATCGCATTGGCAAAAAATACGTTTCTAATGTTTAATAAAGTAAACAATGATGCATCATTGTATAACGATAATTTTGCTTACATATAGCATAAATATATTCCCAAAGGAGTGCTGACTAAAATATATGTATCACATATTATTGCATGTGTTACATTATCCCATTCATTCTTGTCACATACATGTGCCTTACAACGTGAAAACGTATAAATTCTAGGGCCACTTCTATTAATAACCGTATTAGATCCGTGGTCGAAATAAATATAAAATTGCAATTTGTAAAAAATGTTTCCTGAAAAGATGTTTATCTGTTGGGTGATAAAAAGGTCTCAGTTTGTTCCTATAATTATTGAAAAAAGAGACGGGGTGAAAAAAGAAAGATCGTGCGATCCGTCACCAAAGTAATTAAAAAGAAAGTCCGCCTAAAAAGGGCTAATTAATTGGAGATTATTGGATTTAGCAATTATTGCCTATAGATATTTTCTGTAATTCGATGCTGACAAATCATTTCTTAGTGTCATTTCTTAATTGTCACGAATAAAACATTTGGAGAATGTGTTTTCCAGCATGCAAGCAGAGGTGATTATAACTCTACCCACACTGTGGATTTTGTCAGTATTCTGTTTGAACATAAACTGAGCAGCAAAAGAAATTATACCTCGCAGTTGATTTTATTATGTTTGATTTTCAACTGAACATATCTTCAGTTAGCGATATTTTATATACAATTTAACTGTACTGGCGCTTAGACATCACTCAAAGAATACTTCTACATGGCTCTACTTTTAAAAATATAATTTGATTTAAAACCCTTATAAAATATATAAAACATATCGCATAATATACAATTGCGGATGGGTATGTTAGCCATAGAATATTTGAAAATCAATAAATTTATGTGTTTCTTCGACACTAATTTACATTTCAAACATGGTAGGGCTCATGTGGTTGCTAATTTATTCCTTACCTCAGTCTTCATTGAACGGATTTATTTTTACATAAAATTAACCATCCACAGATGACTTTTTAGAAACTGTCGTCACGCCGAAGGACGGGTTCGATCCCCATATGGGTACAATGTGTGAAGCCCATTTCTTGAAAGTGGTGTTCTAACATATCCAATCACTATTGTCAAACAAAGGATTAGACAAAACCATCGATCTTATAAAGCCTATACCTAACATTTGTAAATCCAAAGACATAAAAAATGATGAACAAAATAGAACGAATCTTGCAGTGAGTATAGTCATGTGTGAAAATAGATATAGTATACAATCTATGGTATATCCATCACAACTTTATCTAGCATCCGTTGTATATCAGAAACACTGATATCGGTATACTCATGGAAAGAATATTTTTTGCAAAAATTCTACCGGCTCACTGATATCAAACAGTTTACCATATATATGAAGCGACGAACGACAAGAGTCTTGTCTGAAGAATGGTTCGTCTAAGCATCTAACTGATGCAATCAGAGTTTACTAGTTTTCCAGAACTAGTATCCCATGCTATCTCAGTTTCGTACGAATATGATAAGGTGCTTTTTTTGTCTAAAGAATCAGCATAAACATAAGAATAAATAAAATGCACCCATATTGTGTTGTTATGTTTTATATTATTTACTTCTTTGTGCGCAATTACCTAAATTGTGTAATCGCAAGTTCAGTTATACAGACAAGCTAGACATGAACGATACATAGCAGGTGCATGTATGGTTAATCGGGTTGAAAACATTACAACATGGCGGAAGGTTGTGATAGCCAACCTGAAACACCCGTCTGGAGCAAAGACATCTTTTGCAGGTGATACTTTTGAAGGGAGGGCAGTAACATGCCAATGCCATGTTCACATATAGAGCGTTTATAATTATATTATGTCAGAGAAAGGGCGATCTTTCATTCAGATATCATTATTGAACCTCGTGCCCTCTGCATGAACTGTCGGCATTGGATCGGGTCCAAAAATAATTCCATGTTTTCATAATAAGGGTGCAGTGAAATGCTGCAACACTATTGACATGTTGCTTGTATCAGGGGAATTGCACCATGGCCATATTATTTTGAAGCGACACATTAATACTTATTAACATTAATTTGCAGTGAACTTGTGAACAGTGCGTAGTCTAGGAAAACAGGCCAGTCAGCTGATTACCCAGGATACGTGTTGTAAAGCTAAGACGAGTCATATTCAATGAGTACTCTAAGCTATATGATTGCCAGTATGTCACCAAATTCTGCGCAGTTCTAGTACCAAGACATCTTTCATACAATATATATATGTATACAAATGTTATTTTTTTGTGATGTGTTTAGATATAGAATCTACTTACACATATCCTGTGTTATGGGTTTTTGGACACTTTAGAAACGTTCGTAATTTTCTCTCTAATCACATGAACAACTGTAAAGGGTCTCATTCACTTATAAAAGACAACTTTCTCTAAAAAAACAAGCCATCATCTGAGTATTTACAATGTCTGTGTTATGCTCTGTGTTATGCTATCTTTGCAAACAAGCTATTGTTCGTGTTGTTATGGTTTGTTTTAGATGTTGATTGTGTGGATGTTTTCATTTTCTCTTTATACATTAGGTCATGATAGTGAATATGGATTATATTAAAGGGTGACTATTCCAACAACGTGGAAACCATTTCCAGTTCTAATCTAGACTGTTATAACAATTGCCTTGTATGAAATTGGGACATTATCTAAGTGTGTAATTGAGATACTCAATATCATTACCGATAATCGGTTAGCTCATTTCGCAGACAAACAAATACAAATTTGCTGGGATTGCTAATTGTCCCAAGACAAATGCCTCTTACATATAAGTGTGACAAGGTGAGAGGAGATTGATAAGTATAACAATATCCTGGAATCACTTGCTTGAGGAGAAGAATCATTGTAATAAGGTGTATTTAGTTTACTGAAGAAACATTCATCAGACGCACAGAAGGCCCGGGTTCGATTCCCCACAATGGAACAATGTGTGAAGCCCATTTCTGGTGTCCCCTGTAAAACCACACATACTCACTGATCAGACACATGATAAAGAGATTGCATTATGAATATTTATTTATGCAACATATTTGTCTTTTGATACAAGGGTCAGTAAAAAATACAAATTCTTTATGCAGATCGTGCACTGTGTTTATAAATGTTTCTCTCTTTGTCCTTATAACATGTATAAATGGTAGAATGTTTAGTTCATATGTTTTCATACATCGTTTTTTGATAATCATTTTTCACTTTGCATGAAGCATATATATTTTTTATACATTATTTGTGGGATGTTATCCTGGCTGTTATTACAGATAGTATATAACTTGAGGTTTTATGATAATCCACAGTTTGGAGCCCATTCAGGGATTTTGTCAGACCTGTAAAGAAGCCGATATTCAACCCAAGTCTGCAGCATTATGCTCATGATGTCAATCATTGGATTGTCTGGTCCAGACTTGATTATTTACAGACCGACATCATATAGCTGGCATCTCAATTGCTTGATCCAATACTATTCCAACAATGCTTTACTTGTCTGCAAAGCCATGTTTGTTATCTATGTTGGTCTAGCAATGGCTGATTACCAACGATAGAAACTAACAGTTTCAGCCCACTAGTCCTTATTATGATAACATAAAGCAAAACCCCTAAATAGGGAATAACTTCTGCTAGTCCTTAGGATACCTTAACTATTGGGCAGTTTGGCAAGGACAAATCTAATTAAAATCAGATCTTAGTTCTTGCTACCGCTAAACAAAGATCTTAGGACATCCCATTACAGGTCATGTCAGACCAACCTTTTGCAAACTTTGACCATCCAATGGAATGACTAACAAGAAGTCGACAATAGCCAATCAGAAGGCAGCTTAATCGAGCTTTACGGCACGAGTATCAAACTTGCAACCACTCTTCGAAACATATTTTGACATATACTCTTTTAAAAAAGTAAAAACTGAGCAAAATAACATTCTGGAAAAACTAATATATGATCTAGATTGTTTGATTATAGACTTAAAGCCCATAACTGTCGTTCGGAATACCCTGTGTGGTTTTTGTTTGAGGTTGCACGATCAAAAATCACATGCCAACTGTCACTTTCATGATCTGATAAGCAATGCTCTGATTGGTCAGATGAAAGGTCGTTCTGACATGACCCGTAATGGGATGTCCTCAGATCTTTGTTTAGCGGTAGCAAGAACTACGATCTGATTTCAATAAGATCGGGCAAGGACTATAGGACTAGTGCCAATTTCTAACACTGATTACCCAAACAATGTAGACACAGGATCAATTTCACACTAGGAACATATAAACATGATAAACATGATAAAAAACCTGTTTAGATCTTGCTTTGAAATGAGAAAATCTTGAAGTAGAAAATCAGACCAGAGGCTCATAAACATGTGACTATGGCTCTACAACATAAGACTGCCTCCGTGGTCTAGTGGTAGAGCGTCCGCTCGGAGAGCGGCGACCGCGTCATACCAAAAGACGTTAAAAGATGGTACTTGTTGTTACCCTGTCTGGCGCTCGGCGTTAAGGGGCTAAAACAAGGACTGGTCAGCTCGGAGTCAGTATACTGTGTCTGACAGGGGTATTCATGTTAAACTGTGGCATGGTGTCTCAGTGTGCTAGCACTTTAAATCGGCATCAGTCCGGACTAGTACAAGCAGCCACACAAACACACACATGCATGTCGCTAAATAAGTGCAATAATCTTGGATGCGACGTTAAACCCCATTTCACCTCACCTCTACAACATAGCCCTGTACACTTAGTGTCATCCACATTTGTGAGGGTCCCCTGAAGGTCTGGGTTAGAATTCTTCAGCAACCCATGCTAATGGGATCGGATGATAAGGCTTGCTCACTTGGTTGATGCAGGTCTTTGTATCCCAATTGTTTAGATCGATGCTCATGATGTCAATCACTGGATTGTCTGGTCCCAACTTAGTTCTTTACAGACCAGTCTGTGCAAAAACAAAAAAAACCAGTCTACTTCGCCTAACATGGCTCTTAACATCCGTTTTAGTAGATTTTAGTTTTATTATATATATGGACTACTGTTAGCTGAGCTTACTGTTTGTACTAGATTGAACATAATTCTTCTAGTCTTGGGCTGCCGACTAGTGGCTATGTCCCAGACTGACAAACGGTCGTCATATAGCTGGAATATTGCTGAGTGCAGCGTTAAACAACAAAGAAACAAAAGATTTGTGAGGTTTTCTTGTTTTTCCTAGTGTGGGCCATGTCTGCTGATCTTGAAAATATCAGTTTCAAACAGAGACAGTCATTGATGGTATGATGATTAAAGTGCTACATTTCACGCACTACAGAAAATGATTCTTTTTTGAAACAATACAATCTCTACTGACATCTTTCTTTCTTTAAATTGTAAAAAAAAACCAAGCAGTTCAAATTGAAGAAATGGACACAAAACAGAATCATGAAAAACTGGTAGAAATATGAGATTGAGTTGATTTGATTGTGTTTTTCAGCACTACTATCTTGACAGATTTTGCTAGAGTTGACCAGTATTTAATCCTTTATGTTGAAGCTTATATTGGAGATGATTTGAAGACTGCCTGCATGGTCTTGTTGATAAGGTGTCTGACTAGAGAATGGAAGGTCTGGTTCGACCCACCTGCGTCATACCAAAAGACATTTAAAGATGGTACTTGCTTTACCCTGCTTGCTGCTCGACATAAGGGGGTAAAACAAGGACTGGTTGGCTCATAGTCAGAATACTGTGTAGAGTATTCATGTTAAAATTGCAGTATGGTATCTCAGTGGGCAAGCACTATAAAACCGACATAAGTGCAGACAAGTAAAAGCAGTCACACATCCGTGCATGCACATCGCAACAGATGCAATGCATTGTGCAATAATCTTGAGTGCGACGTTAAACCCCATTTCACCTCACCTAGATGATTGGCAGTGATTTAAATGTCTGTTTCTGACCACACAGGTACTATCTCCATGGTGTGTGTCGCGAGGGCGACAGTTGCCGCTACTCCCATGACCGGTCCGCCCAAGCCTCCATGGTATGCCGCTTCTATCTCAAAGGAAACTGCACCTATGGAGACAAATGCAGGTCAGCGGCAAACCTTATGACAAACTACTGTGAGAAATGGTTATCATATTCGATAAACCAGTTTATTACTTGCCCGTGATTCTATCACACGTTTAATAAACATTCAGCTGTATTATTGTGCAATACCAAATACATGCTTATGTACTGTGGGAACAAGCTTCACTAACAAATGCTGAAAACTCCCAACATACCTCGGCTTATTTAAGAAATTGCGTATGGATCGCATAGATGTCTGCCTATTCACACACAACAGTGAAATCTAAAAAAACAAACGAGTTATAAACGGTAAGTTCTAAAGAAAATACTAAACATGCTCCTGTGTAATACAAATTTTATGAAATGAGTGAATAATTCTTGCTCGTCAGATACCAGAACTATTCACTCGTTTCATAAAATTGGTATTACAGGGGAGCTCGTTGAGTATTCTTTATGTTTCATATCTTCATTTTGGTATGGTTAATACCCTGGTCCAATTTGCTTCCATAGCATCTTTTCAGATCTTCATCTCTCTTTTTGGTAACTTTTCTTGCTCATTGGTGTACTTTGATTGGACGGCTATTTTCAGATACTCATATAGGTGGGTACAGAATGGAACCAGGGTATTTATATTATCACAGAATGGGGATACGACACATTGCATTATCAAGGATGTTGTATCGTCTCTAAATATAAGATGAAGAGCTAAAGCAGAAAGTTCCATTTTTATTTCATGTTGGCAGGGATCGATTTTGCTATATCTAAGCTGCACCAGGGCAGGTAAACCATTGTTAGTGCAGGTAACTTTTATTGCCAGGATGTATCCCTGGATATGTATGCACCTTAACCCCTGAGATCTGTTAACCAATATTTAGGAAATACACCGACTCTGTGTTTAATGTAGAGCTAGGGTAACTGAAGATTTAACATGTTTAACTGCACTAAATATAATTTGAAATTGAACATGCTGGCATGAGGATGCAAATGTAAAAGTTTGAATGGCTAAATCTACAGGTAACCTAGCTCTACATTATGTTTATCTCAATTTTACCATGACTAAATAAAACGTGAAGTTAGCTCAAACATCAACTGATTCCTTCTAGGGCAGCCTGTTGAGGTCAGTTTTTTTTCTATTTCGATAGTATTGCAATATTATATAGGTACACCTATTGCAATAGTAGTCTGATAGTTAGTGATGGGTATTTGCCTGACTTTTGTTATTGCAATAATGATTCATGTATCACAATATATTTCCTGCGTTCTTCCATCTGTAATACATGGGTACAATGTGTGAAGCCCATTTCTGGTGTTCCCCGCCGTGATATTGCTGGAATATTGCTAAAAGCGGCGTAAAACCATACTCACTCACTCACTCACTCACTCCATCTGTAATTTGTTATGAACCTAAATAAAAATACCCAGTAACCCAAACTTTTGACAACTTCATTGTCTCCCATTTTGTGGGATGTTGCTATGGTCACAACACATGCAGAATAGACACATTCTATGAAGGAGTCTGGTTGCAAAGGGTTTTGCGTTTCGATCACTGTAGTCAATTGCTTATTTCTGAATTTCATAATTTCAATTTGACTTTTCACTCATCTGAACTTTGCCAACAAGATGAAAATATTTGAAAAACCAATATTGTGAAAACGCAATATGGCAGTGATTGTGATGCTTATTCATTATTATTTCAAATCGTCTTATACCAATTATACAGTGCACCTCTTGCAATAGTAATCCTGGTTTGCTGTTTGTAGTAGAAATAACCTGTGTGTTCTCGGTGTGATGTTCTGCAGATACGACCATGTAAAACCACAAAAAAATGCCTCGAAACCCCAACCTTCCAACAAGATCTCATCCAACGACGTTAATCCCAAGTCAGCTGTAAGCAACTCCCACAAGCCACCGCCAGTCAGCAGCTCTTGTAATGCTGACTTCAAGAGTAACATGGTGTCTCTGAAGAAGGGCGTGGCACCCAGTTCTCAACCTCAGGTGACCTTATCCTCCCTGGGTAAACCAGCAGAGGAGTGGGTCAAAGCTAAAGAATTTGTCCCAGGGCAGCCCTACGAGGGTGCAGGTGAGATTCCTCCCCCCATAGGGATTAATCTTGGGCTGTTGACAGATACTGCTAGAGTTAGCAGACTGCCTCTTGGTCTAGTGGAAAGAGTGTTTGACTGGAGAGTGGAAGGGCAGTGGTTCTGTCCCAGTCAATCTCATTAAAATCAGATCTCAGCTCTCGCTGTCGCAAAACAAAGATCTGAGGACATCCCATTAATGGTCACGTCAGAACGACCTTTCATCCAACCAATCAGAGCGTTGCTTACCAGATCATGATCGTGACAGTTCGGAATGTGTTTTCTAATCACGCAGGGGCGGTCGGGTAGCCTAGTGGTTAAAGCGTTCGCTCGTCACGCCGAAGACCCGGGTTCGATTCCTGACATGGGTACAATGTGTGAAGCCCATTTCTTGTGTCCCCCGCCGTGATATTGCTGGAATATTGCTGCGTAAAACCATACTCACTCCCTCACTCACTCTAATCATGCAACCATGAAATATTTAACACGGGGTATTCCGAACGACAGTTACTGGTTTTATGATTATATCCATACAATCTAGGCCATCTATAAGCCATTCCAGAATGTTCTTCTTATCAGTTTAATTTTTTAATGGAGAATACGTCAAAATATGATTCGAAGCGTAGTCGGCAGTTTGAAACTAGGGTCATAAAACTCGAGAACGCTGCCTTCTGATTGGCTAATGTCGATTTCCTGTCAGTCATTTCATTGGTTCGTCAAAATTCGCGAAAGGTCCTTCTGACGTGACCCGTAATGGGATGTCCTTAGATATTTGTTTAGCGGTAGCGAAAACTAAGATCTGATTTTAATGAGATTGTGTCCCAGTCCGCATCATACCAGAAGGTGTGAGAAGATGGTACTTGTTGCTTCCCTGTATGACACTTAGCATTAAGGGGAAAAAGACAAGGACTGGTTGGCTCGGCGTCAGTATACTGTGTGTGGGTATCTGTGTTAAACAGCGGCATGGTATCTCAGTGGGTTCGCACTATAAAACTGGCATAAGTCTGAGCTAGTACAAGCAGCCACAGAAACATGTGCATGCATGTCACTATATAAGTGTGATTATCTTGAATGCTACGTTAAACCCAATTTCTCTTCGCCTCCCCCTGGAAAAGTAACTGATGAATAGTATTCACCAAGCAAGCATAGGCTACACCAAGCAAGCATAGGCTTCACCAAGCAAGCATAGGCTACACCAAGCAAGCATAGGCTTCATAATGCAAGCATAGGCTTCACTAAGCAAGCATAGGCTTCATTAAGCAAGCATGGGCTTCACTAAGCATGCATAGGCTACACAAAGCAGCATAGGCTACACCAGGCAAGCATAGGCTACACCAGGCTAGCATAGGCTTCACCAAGCAAACATAGGCTACACCAAGCAAAAAGGCTACGCCAAACAAGCATAGGCTAAACCAAAGCAAGCATAGGCTTCACTAAGCAAGCATAGGCTACACCAAACAAGCATAGGCTTCACAAAGCAAACATAGGCTACATAAAGCATGCATAGGCTACACAAAGCAAGCATAGGCTACACCAAGCAAGCATAGGCTACACAAAGCAATCATAGGCTATACAAAGCAAGCATAGGCTACACCAAACAAGCATAGGCTTCACAAAGCAAACATAGGCTACATAAAGCATGCATAGACTACACAAAGCAAGCATAGGCTACACCAAGGAAGCATAGGCTACACCAAGCAAGCATAGGCTACACAAAGCAAGCATAGGCTACACCAAACAAGCATAGGCTTCAACAAGCATAGGCTTAAGCAAGCATAGGCTTCACTAAATAAGCATAGGTTTCACCAAGCAAGTATAGGCTATGCAAAGCAAGCAGAGATTGTGCAAAGCAAGCACAGGCATCCCAAAGCAAGCATAGCCTTCACAGAGTAATCATAGGCTACGCAAAGCAAGAATGGACTATGCCAAACAAGCATGGGCTTCACAAGGCTAGCGTAGGCTACACAAAGCAAGCATAGCTTTCACCAGGCTAGCATAGGCTACACAAAGCAAGCATAGCCTTCACCAGGCTAGTATAGCATTCACAAAGCAACCATAGCCTTCACCAGGCTAGCATAGGCTACACAAAGCAAGCATAGCCTTCACCAGGCTAGCATAGATTACAGGAATAAAGCATAGACTACACAAAGCAAGCATAGCCTTCACAAAGCAAGCATAGCCTTCACAAAGCAAGCATAGCCTTCACCAGGCCAGCATAGGCTACAGAAAGCAAGCATAGCCTTCACCAGGCTAGCATAGGCTACACAAAGCTCACATAGGCTTCACAAAGCAAGCATAGCCTTCACCAGGCTAGCATAGGCTACACAAAGCAAGCATAGCCTTCACCAGGCTAGCATAGGCTACACAAAGCTCACATAGGCTTCACAAAGCAAGCATAGGCTTCACAAAGCAAGCATAGCCTTCACAAAGCAAGCATAGCCTTCACCAGGCTAGCATAGGCTTCACAAGGCTAGCACTGGCTTCACAAAGCAAGCATAGCCTTCACAAAGTAAGCATAGCCTTCACAAAGTTAGCATAGGTTACACAAAGCAAGCATAGGTTACACAAAGCAAGCATAGGTAACACAAAGCAAGCATAGGCTACACAAAGCAAGCATAGGCTTCACCAAACAAACATCGGCTTCAACAAGCATAGGCTTCAGCAAGCAAGCATAGGCTTCACTAAATAAGCATAGGTTTCACCAAGCAAGCATAGGCTTTGCAAAGCAAGCAGAGATTGTGCAAAGCAAGCACAGGCATCCCAAAGCAAGCATAGCCTTCACAAAGTAATCATAGGCTACGCAAAGCAAGAATGGACTATGCCAAACAAGCATGGGCTTCACAAGGCTAGCATAGGCTACACAAAGCAAGCATAGCCTTCACCAGGCTAGCATAGGCTACACAAAGCAAGCATAGCCTTCACCAGGCTAGCATAGGCTACACAAAGCAAGCATAGCCTTCACCAGGCTAGCATAGGCTACACAAAGCAAGCATAGCCTTCACCAGGCTAGCATAGGTTACAGGAATAAAGCATAGACTACACAAAGCTAGCATAGCCTTCACAAAGCAAGCATAGCCTTCACCAGGCTAGCATAGCCTTAACAAAATTAGCATAGGTTACACAAAGCAAGCATAGGTAACACAAAGAAAGCATAGACAACACAAAGCAACCATAGCCTACACAAAGCTCGCATAGGCTTCACAAAGCTAGCATAGCCTTCACAAAGCTAGCATAGGCTTCACAAAGCAAGCATAGCCTTCACAAAGCTCGCATGGGCTTCACAAAGCTAGCATAGCCTTCACAAAGCTAGCATAGGTTACACAAAGCAAGCTTACTTCAGTAACTGATCCCTTATCCCATCTAATTCCAGTTCCAAGTTCCTATGCCAAAGCAGCCAAGGTAGGCAAGCCCGATGAAGAAGAGACCCTACCCACAGAAGATAGTTTGTATGAAGCAACAGACAATTCGAAGCTGCTGTGCCCCTTTGCTGCCCACGGAGAGTGTTGGTATGGCGACAACTGCGAGTACCTCCATGGCAATATCTGTGACCTATGTGGCCTTGCTGTCCTTCACCCTGACGAACCTGAGCAGCAGGAACAACACAGGAAGGTAAGGCTCTCGGTCGTGCCCCTTGAAGATTGTTTGTTTGTTTGTTTGTTTGTTGTATGGACCAGATAATCCAGTGATTAACATCATGAGCATCCATCCACGCAATTGGGATACGATGACATGCATTAACCATGTCAGCAAGCCTGACCACTCGATCCCGTTAGAAACCGACAAACATAGTTAAGACAGTGAGTGAATTTTGTTTCACGCCACGCTCAGCAATATTCCTGCTATGTGGTGACACTTGGTCGTATGCACAGCACAGAGGTCTCAAATCGGGTGAAGAAGTTAAGCAATGTCGGTCGCGGAGAGTCCTTGGAAGGGTGGCCTCTTACAACAGGCATAGTCGCCTTTTATGGCAAGAATGGGTTGCTGAAATCCTGTTCTACGTTGCTTGAAGATTGGTAGAGGGCAGCCCAGAAGCAGCCTTGCGTACCCAGTGTATTCTGTCTCCATACTATTTAAGAAATAAACGAGGAGTGTGAGTTGTTTAGTGTACAATAAAACACTGCAGGGAGAATTAACCATTCGGGCGCAAACAATAAAATCTTGCGGGGAGAATAAACCATGACACTGAGAGACCAAGAGTCGTTTATTTCTTCTATAAGATATCAACATCATGTAATCCTCTTTAAGGATGTTAATAAAATGAACAAGCTATAAACATATTTACCTGTATTTAAATAATGATGACTCCCTGAACACAATCTGACCTTGGCAATGTCGGACAAATCCATTTTATAAACGGGGTTAAGTTTAAAATTTCCCGGATATTCTCACAATGCAAGCGTATGTTCGAATCTCCAGAAATGATGCCATGGTAGAACAATTTTTTGTCGTGAAATAAACAACGCTTTGTTCTTCATTGTTCTTTGCAATTTATGGCAAAGCTATCTTATATCATGATGTAAGGGGGGCACTGGTGGCCCAGTCGTGTAAGGTGCAGCAGTTCGCTGTGTGGAGCTATGTCCATTGGGCACACCAGAAAACCATCATCATGGGTTTGAATCCATGTTTGCCCCGGTAATGTTTATAGGTTTGCTAGCACCATACCCACATTTTAAAAGTTTAGGAAATTGATTTACTAAGATAATGTCCCATTTTTTGCAGGAGTGTATAGAGCGCCATGAAAAGGACATGGAGTTGTCATTTGCAATTGCTCGCAGTAAAGATAAAGCATGCGGTATATGTATGGATGTGGTGGTGGAGAAGAACCCAATCAGTGAGCGGCGCTTCGGAATTCTGCCAGGCTGTAGTCACTGCTTCTGTCTCTCCTGTATACGCAAGTGGAGGTGTGCCAAGCAATTTGAAAATAAAATAATCAGGTAGGAAACTGACCTTGTATCGTGTTTATGATAGCTGCACATTTATTTTCTTATATGTTCAACATCTTACCTTTATTCTTCTACTGAAAAGTACTTAGTGTGGCTTAATTGTTTTGCACTATTAGATTAAACACTCGAAAATCCTCAACATTTGCCTCTGTTCACCCTGCAACAAGTGGGTACCTGTCAGGATTAGATGATAATGTAAATGCAAATCCTAGAGCCTTACAATCAGCTTGGGGTGTATATTCCCCAGGGAGCTGAGAATGCATCTGTTGACTGGGGTAAAAATGTCATATGCATGTATATACAGACATATATAAGATACAATTTAAGATTAAAACACATTTTTAGAATAACATAATTAATGAGATACTAACATATAACAAAAAATATTACAAATTTTGGAAATGACTCATACATAGTGTCTTAAACTACTCCTGTAATTAAGGTATATATATGATCATGATGATTTCTCATTTATTGCACACAGAGTATCCCTGATAGGTGAATGTGTCTAAAAGCATATGCCAGATCATTTATATACATATATACTAAATCTTCCTCAACAATACCAGATTCAACAGAAGGTGCTGAGACAGACATTGGTGTTTGATATGGTAACTTTGTTGTGTTCCAGAGCCTGTCCTGAGTGCCGGGTGCAGTCCGACTTTGTCACACCCAGCCAGTATTGGTATGAGACCAAAGAGGACAAGGAGAAACTAATTGAAGGTTATAAGGGTGCATTAAGGTAAACTGTAGTATGGCACTAACCCTTGTATATATTAGGCTAAAAAAAATAATAGTCTTGGTTCTCAGGCACTGTCCACATCATCATAAAGTTCATTGCATGTTTTGTTTCCAGTTTAAATTTTTTTTGTTTATTGTGTTTAAGTATTAGGATTTTTGTATTATATTGAAAATGGAAATAAAAACAAAACGTATGGCATACTTTATGATGATGTGGGTGGTGCCTGAGAACCAAGACTAGCATTGTTTTTTAGCTTTAAGGGGGCGGTCGGGTAGCCTAGTGGTTAAAGCGTTCGCTCGTCACGCCGAAGACCCGGGTTCGAATCCCGACATGGGTACAATGTGTGAAGCCCATTTCTGGTGTCCCCCGCTGTGATATTGCTGGAATATTGCTAAAAGCGGCGTAAAACCATACTCACTCACTTTTAGTTTTAAGGGACTTTCTTCAGCCAGACCTTTACGTTTCGGATTTGGTGCAAAGTGTATGTTGTTATAAGTGAGCTTTAAAATTGTCGTAGAACTATGACTCTTTATGGAATGCGTCCATGCTCTTGCTTGCGAATATCTGGTAATAGCTGCCATGTCCTGTTGAACGCTTTGCCCCTAGTAGAGTTAGTACCCCTGTATGCTTGTCATAAAAGTCGACTAAAATGGGAAGGGCGATTATGTTCAGTGACCTGGCTGATTGGGTGTCATCGTGGTTCCAACGGTGTGAATTGTTGCTCATTCCTTGTCTGGCGACTTGTCTGTCTGGCCCAGACTCATAGAGAATCTCAACCGAAATTTATCAACATGTGTTGAAATAAGTTGAAACCCCTGAGGCTTGCAGAGGAGCTTCAAACTTTAATCAATGAGTGTTGATATGTTTGATATCAAAAGACATTCAGGTGATATTTTTTGTTTATCATACCAAATTATGTAAACAGTAATAACCGGGTGGTCTATTCTCGAAGCTGTCTTAGCTACAAAGGTAAATCTTTGCGACTTACGACATAAAATATGACTGCCATAACAACTATTCTTGAAGTTGTCGCAAACCTATTGCAACGTTATCTTACTTACGACATAAAGCTTAGCTAAGGTAGTGAGCTCTTTTGTGAGAGAGGTTTAATAAGCTGGGGGTTTCCCAATGAGTTATTCAGGGAATTCCCTAGATTGTCATAACAATGCGATCTTACATACTTAAAGTCACTTTTGAGGGGTCACACAGATAATAAGAGATCAAAGTTCAGTAGGACCCTGTAACCTTGAACCTAGCGGGATCATCTTATGACTTCGAGATATCAAGACGTGAGATAACGAGGCATGAATAAAATTCTACTGTTAAGTCAAAGTTGGGACCGAGTCCAATGTTCAAGACAGTGTTTTGTTTTTTATCTTTATTTGAGATAAGCGGATAAGTTTATATGTATTTTAGGTAGTGAGGCGGACAGGATCGGAGAAGAGGTTCGAGATATCGATACATTCGAGATAATGGGAGTTTGACTGTATTAAAAAAATGTCGCATTTTCAACTTCCAAGAGTGCAGTTCATTTGCATTTGAAATGAACAATTTTATATATAGGTATAAACAATGTGTTCTTCAATTGCTAATCACATTGTCAACATACCCAGACGTTTTAAAGCTTGTTAGTATATGTTTATGTTTGAAACACTACATAACATTTGGGGACCCTTCAATAATGACGCAGAGTATATATGGGATTGCCAGTGAAAAATCACAAGGACAAGTAAAAAGCCTTTGGACTCTATGCTAAGTGATTAAATACTTGTAGCTATACTGATTTTGTTTGATATAGAAGGTTATTTGTGTAAGTCTTCTGAGCATCTAAAATTAAACAATTGCTATAGTGTTTAAAACGAAATAAACTAAGAATGTTTTCGACTCGCTGTTGGGCAAAAGTCATAATTGGTAAATATAATGTTCAAGTGGTGTTTCCTATGATCTGTTGTTCGTGTTTTGAAAGTGCAAGTGGTAATCACTTGATTTTGTGGGCACAAACGATACAGCAGACCCATACTGTCCAATCATTTTCATCAACATGTCATCTTTTGGCTGCCTTGGCTTACCTGTCATAAGCTCCTTACACAGGTCAGACACTGTCTTAATTTTTTTCATAAACTTAAGATAACTTAGCGCAAAGATAGTTTTGAGAATAGACCACCAGTGTCTTGAGTATAAAAATACAGCTAACTAGATTCAATGGCAGAGGGATTAGTGATGGCATTTGACTGTGACATCATGGTAACCACTGTCGTCCCAATGGTCTGCAAAGCATTGTGATGCAATTTCATGATAGCAATATTTCCAAAGATCTATTGCTTGATCTCACCTAAGCAATACCTCCTGTGGAAGCCAGTTTTGGATGATAATTCTTTAATGGGCTGCCATGATGTTGCTGAAGTAAAGCTAACACTGACCTTGAACAACACTCACTCACTCACTCACTCACTCACTCACTCACTCACTCACTCACTCAGTTCTGGCTGGTCTAAAGAATTATAACAAAGTTGGATGCTGTTCTGTGTGTCATACAATGAAATATATATAATGAATAGATTATGTTTCTGATGGTGAAAAAGAATTGCTTTTTTCCTTTTATAGCCTGACAAGTTTATTGTTCAAGAGTGCCATCCTTTTACTTTAAGACTTATAGTTTCAATGAACAGGACAAGTGAAATACTTGAACCTAATACCTTGACCATCAAGGCATTACTATTGATTACCGTATTCGACGTAATAAGCGCCCAGGGTGCTCTCAAAATTAGAAATAGGGGGCTCTTATTAGAATATTATTTTGGTGGAAAAAAACAGAGTTGAAAGATAAATTTCTTGGTTTATGCTGACGGTCTGAACTGTTAATATACGCCAGATATATTTTTCCAGAATTTAATTGCCCATGATAAAGGGGGCATATAACACATGAGTGCGTATTATACACGAATAAATAAGTCTTGTGTACATTGATCAGTCGGAAGGGATGCTAATTGGGATTGTTCACTTGCCAATATATTAGCAAATATCATGGGCGCTTATTAGAGCGGGGCGCTTATTATGTCGAATACGGTAATAACAAAGGTAATGAACCAGTACTAAACAAGACTCTTTCTTTTCAGTTCAAAACCATGTCGGTATTTCGATCAGGGAAGAGGCGAATGTCCTTTTAACGAAAAGTGCTTTTACCTTCACGCATATCCGGACGGGCGGATAGCAGAACCCCAGCCCCGGAAGGTCCGGAGGCGGAGGAACGCAGACGGGGAGACGGACATTGTTAGGCGGATCAGTTTGTGGGACTTCTTCGAGGAGAGGGACATGCGACACAATTTATGGATCCTGGAAGAGGAGTTCTTGTCTCACCTTCTACTAGATATAATGTTGGATAGTGATTCCAGTAGTGATTCTGATGACTTGTGGTAGCTTTTGATTGGTCAGAGACTGGCATGTCGTGTTCTAATTGGCTAATTTATTTGGACGCACTAACTACACTTGCAGGGATTGATTTTGGCCCCTGTTCAGATCAGGGTGATTGAATTATGTGAGAGTCCACTTTCGTTTGTTTTTAGCGGATAGAATCCGCTACTCTGGAACAGGGGTGACAGTGTAGTTGCTAGGATAATATTCTGACTCAACATTAGACTGCTATCAGCCTTCAATAACAAATAAACCATTTTCGTACAAGAACTTCTATGTACTTATTACATTGTAATATGATATTTTTGTAATGCCTTCGGACTCTTCACATCTTGTTTTTCTTGTTTCTTTACTTTACTGTTTTCCATAGTATTGAGTTTCTTAGAAATAAGACCCTGATAAGAACTGGGTGAGAATTGGCCTTCATCAAACCATGCCTGCCATAAAAGGTGACTATGCTTGTTGTAAGAGGCAACTAACGGGATATTGTGGTCATGCTCACTGACCGAGTTGATGCATTTCATTGTGTCCCATTTGCATGGATCGATGTTCATGATGTCAATCATTGGATTATCTGGTCCAGAATGGATTATTTACAGACCACTGTCATATAGCTGGAATAGAGTGCACACAACAAACAACCCAAACAAAAATGAAATGAAAAATGAAGAAAGTCTTGGAAATGAGAATAATTAGTTTCAGTGCTTCTGACTACTGAGAGAATATTCTGTCAGGCGGCATGTAAAATATTTTAGTATTACTTTGTTTTTATTTTAATGACCAGCTTTTGGCTGTTTTGCTGGGTACATGTGATGACACCTTCCATAAAAATAGTGGAAAAGAGAAGCATATGTATTTTTAATATTTTTGTTAAGATTTCCAAGCACATACATATTCACAGATTTCTTAAAAAGTTGTCTGCAGAAGGCTTTGTTGCTGTATGTTGTTACTACACGTTTTTTTACCTGAGCGTTACGTTTCAACAAACAAAATATGACCAGAATATTTATTTGGTGGTCGGAATCCATTTGCCGTGGACGAGTTGCAGTGTTCGAAATTAGCTCGGATTCTGGGCATAATCCTAACATGAAAAGTTAGGGGTCCCTAGATTGAACTATTTCAGCAGCAAACATCAAAGAACCAAGGTCCCTCCTTAATTTCGAATACTGAGTTGGTAAATATTTTTGTGTAAGTCTGATATCGACTTAACTTGTTTTTAGATGCCCCCGTCAAGTGAGGCTTCGTGAGCTAATTCAAGAGACGGAGCCCAGTTTGGGTTCCTCTACAGCCAGACTGTGCCAGTCTTCCACTGTGTATAGACTTAGTATGTTAACTTGTAATCTGTGTATATGCTCAATACTACTGGTACCCAGATGTGTTACATTGTCAACATTCATACATCTCACTGCAAGCTCCATATCTGGGAACATGGACTCACAAATCTCATTTATGCCACCTACTTATTGAAAGAATCCATACTCGGCAGGGAATTCAGGTACAATGTGTGATCCCCATGCTTTACCTCCCTGAAATTTATTCTGCGACAGCTCATGTACTTCTAGTTGCGACATTAAACCTAATAGACACTGATTCAATGAATATGTGATGGTGGGGATATATTACAAATGAGGGGGTACGGGTGGCCCAGTTGTTTTAGTTAATTCGAGTTGTGTCCCATGGGCATGCCAGAAATTGTTGATCTTGGGTTTGAATCCTGCTTCGCTCTCATTTTTAGCTTCGCCAGCACCATACCTGTGCTTTCACCAAGGTGGTAAACATCTCCAACTTGCATCACTTTGGACTTTTCTAAAGCTGATGCTCCATGATTTAACTGAAATACTGTTCCAGGCTGCATGACGCACAGCTCAGTCACTATTACAGAGGGAGAATACGGTCTTTCAGCACACAATATATAATACCAAATTTGATGGAAGTGATGTGTATCTAGGCATATGACTTACTCAGTTTAGTTTGTTTGTTTGTTTGTTTTTAACACTGCCCTAAGCAATATTCCAGCTACATGACAGCAGTCTGTTAATAGTCAGGTCTGGACCAGACAATCCAGTGATTGACATCATGAGCAAATGCTTGTCATAAGAGGCTACTAACCGGATCGGGTGGTCAGGTTCCCTGACTTGGTTGATGCATGTTATTCTATCCCAATTGCGTAGATCGATGCTCATGATATCAATCACTAGATTGTCTGGTTCAGACTTGATTATTTACAGACCATCGTCATATAGCTGGAATATTGCTGAGTGCAGCTTTAAACAACGAACAACAACAACAAAAAAGATGATCAAACCAGACAATCAGTCATGCTAATGATGATTACTAATGCTATTAAACACAGTTATCCCAGATATTCTTGTGATTGTTTAGGTGATTATGAGATACCACTTCTTACAGAGTCCTTATAAACACTATCTACATGGATGTGATAACGGGTTGTATTGTCAGTACAGGTAGTTCCTTATACTATTGTTCAAATCAGTGTTAAACCAGCTTGGCCACTGGCCCATCCTATTGGTAGTTCATAGCAGTTTTCAGGGGGCACAGTGGCTTGGTCGTCTAAGGCGCCAGGAATCACTGTGCAGAGTTGCGTCCCTTAGGCACGCCAGAAATCTATAATCGTGGATTCGAATCCCAGTTCACCCCGATTATGTTTCTAGGTTTGTCATCACCATACCTGTGCTCGTGGGTTTCACCGAAGTGGTAAATGTCTGAGACTTGCATCACTTCGAGCTCTGCTCCAACATTAAGCTGACACGTCGCGATATAAATGTAATACTGTTAAAAACAGCGATTAACCCAACTCGCTCTCTCACTCATAGCAGTTTTCACTCAGTCTTTGGATAGCATCTGCTGCAAGGGATTGGGTCACACATTGTAAACAGAATACCATCTGTTGTTTATATACTGAACTTTAACCCACAATTCAGAGTTTGTCAGCTTCCTTACAGACATGGAGTAGGCATGGTGTAGGGATGTGAATGTTGACAATGAACTTGTAGGTGCTTGTGATAGAGATTGATTCCATTTGTACTTGGACATGTTCAGGAGTAACTTGACATTAAGTCTGAACATATGAACGTTGGTTATTTTTTAATTTTCTTTTTGATATTCAGGATCCAATCATTGATTTGTATTTCTGTTTTAAGACTTGCTACAGAATTGTTTTTTAGTACAAGGATTAACATGAGTCATTACATTAAATGGGAACAGAAATAGCTTTTGGAGTCAAACAGTCTGTGTCCAAAACTTCTAGATGTTGTTACCGCTAGCCAGTGCCTAACCTAATGGGAGACTCAAACAGGATTAGTCAACAGAAATATGACGTGAGGATTTGTGGCAAAGGCCGGTTATATGTTGAAGATCACATACCCTGATGGCATGGAGTAGGTGTACTCTCTCACTGTCACAGACCTGAATTGGCAGTTCAGGGAGCTCCATGAACTGAGTAACTTCCCCTTCAATCCATCATGCCTGGTAACCATGACTACAAGGTGAACTGTGAGGAACATCCTTTCAAATATCTCATGCCTGATTACCATGACTACCAGGTGAACTGTGAGGAACATCCTTTTATATATTTCATGCCTGGTTACCATGACTACCAGGTGAACTGTGAAGAACATCCTTTTAAATATTTCATGCCTGGTTACCATGACTACCAGATGAACTGTGAGGAACATCCTTTCAACTACCACATGCCTGGAGTGGTTACCATCACTGCAAAATGAACTACGTAACTTCCTCTAAAGTCTGTCATGTTTGATTATTACAAAGTAAAGCTTCTGTTGAGTCCATTATGTCCTGGTTGTCATGGCTACTCTGTTAAGCTGATGCTCACTCATACACGAGAGGTGATAATAAAATAGTTGCAAAAATGAATAATCACAAGACTTTAGTACAGTTGCTTTTGTATATAAATCTTCCATTTCTGCAGACATGTATTCAGATGAGTTCCCAGTTTTATTTAAACTGTAAAAAAGCAAATCAAACAACTTTTCACATGTTTATAGATCTACTTTTAGTTGAGTCCTCCAGTGTTTTTTCTCAGACTTACTGCAGGGTTATGTTTTTGTCCCTGTCCACGTTTACTTCCATAATGTTCACCCTTGTTCATATCCAGATCCCCCTACCTGTTGATAGTGACGTTTTAATATATTACTTTTGTTAGTTCCAAACTAAACTGTTCTGTGATACACTCTATAGCCCTCACCACTTGAAATAGAATCATGAAATATCGCGATGATTAATTAACGAAGATAGCTGCATGGACCATGTGATCAAAACTCAATGGAGATGTTTATCGCTAACAGACATTTCTTGAAAGTAGTATTTTTTATCAGCGGAATGGCTTGTTTTCACTTTATAAGTATAAGCACACATGCAGATGTCTTCATTAATTTATCACCATGATATTTTGTGTTTCTATTTCAAGTGGCAAGGAGTTTAGTAATCTGTGATTGTATGCATATCTTCTAAGTTCAGACCAATTTAATTACTTGTTGTATGGATCTGCCAGCTCATTTTTCTCGAAATTGATAAAATTCCCTATGTCTCTCTGAAAACAAGTCATCTATTCATCTACCAGCTTGAGACTGTCACAATATTTCCAAGGGATTATTCCAGTACTGATCTGGTTTCAGTTTATGGTCTCTCATAACACAATGCATAACACAAAATGCAGTGTTGATCAGACACCATCTCTTCAAGTAAAATATATAGCTGTGATTAAAAAGACATTTCAGATTTCATATTTGCTCTTGAAGACATTGTTTGGATATAATACCATGAGTGCCGTGTTTATGAAGCTGGGCTTGTTTATTTTAAACTTTAAGGTATTGTATGCACAATTATTTGTGCTAAATATGTAACTTTTCAGTCTCTGAAAAAAAATCAGATTATTTTTATCTCCCCTTTTATTTAGCATCAGCAGTTTGTTAAGCCAAATTAGTTGAGAATGATAACTGGAATGTGAACGGATCCACTGGTCAGGGAACAAATAAAAACTGCATTTGAGCAGATACTAGTACCTGGATACCTGCATTATATAAATGTATATTATAATAAAATTTCTGAAAAAAAGTCTGTCTTTATTCTGGAAAACAAGTTTTAGAATTGGTGTGGGCTTATTAGGATATTAATCCCAAGGCTTTGGTTTTCAGGCAATGGCCAGTATTTTAAGTACTTGGACACTGTCACACTCTGTCCCTTTAAAACTGTGGCCACCCAATAAAGCATTTTTAAGAACTGACAGC